GAAAGCATTGGAGCCCGATGCTTCAAATGTGGTAGGTTGGGGCAACGACAGGACTCGTGCCTAGAAACAAAGGCTGCCAAGACCAAAGATGATAGTATTAATGTTAAACAATCACCATCGGTGAAAGAAGCCACTCCAACAAACAGTGAAAAGGTGGAAGAGGGTGTTGGCCCTTGGATGGTGGTCTAAAAAAGAAAACAAAAAGGTAACCTTATTGGTAAAAAGCCGAAGTGGCAAGAAAAAGATCGCAAGCATGAAGGAACATCTATCCATACACATGCAGTTGATTTTGCAAATGCCAACGTTTATGTTAGAAAAAAAATAATGATGGACTTTGATAGGAGAAGCAAAGGCAAAAAAGAGTGTAGTGGAAGTTGGCCCCCAGTTGGAAAGTCCTACCATTACTTCTAAAGAAAATGAAAAAACTAGTTAGAGAAAGGAGATAGGAGTAGAGAAAGTAAAAAAGGTGCAAGGAGAGTCAGCATTAACAAAGGACAGTGATATCGTCACTATCAACCTGTCCATTGCTAAGACTAGTGATGGTTTAAGGTTGTATGATATGACATAACCGAATGACAGGTGCCTAAGTTTTCCTAATTCTATGCAACTTAATGATACGTTCCCAGGGGATAAGGATTTGCTTGACAGTGACACAGATAATATCAAAATAACCCAGCCGGATTCAGTCCAAAGTTCAACTTTACCAAGCTCTTGTAAATCTGGGAATAATTAGAATCATGCTCACACCCTCAACACAAAGAACCCATCGAACCAGAAGGTTATGGAGGCAAGCTTTCAGCCAAAGGACAACTAGCGAGAGGGTTCGTTTGTGTAATGATAGGAGCGCCTGAGAGCATTGGGAGACTAAGCAGATATGTAGGCACGATGAAGAGGGATTGCTTACCATCAGAAAAGCAAGCAAGCAAGAACCCTATTCTCATAGAGTTCTCATTTGGCCTTGGGAAATCCACTGTTCACCTTCGGAGCTTAGAGCAAAGATATGGCAGTTTTAAACTCTTAAAATCACCAAGGGATAGAAGACGAAGCTCTAGTTGATAGGATTGCCGAGACTGTAATAAAGAGGCGAAGCCAACTTCTGCCACTCCTGATTTATCCTAAGCCAGTTCAGAATTTCGATGAGTCAAACTTAACACAATTTCAGGATTCTTTATGGATAAAAGCAAGGTTGAATCCTCCTTTGTGGGTTCTAGCAATCCAAGAGGCCTAACTTAACAACCAGCCCTAGAGATCATGATGAACAACTCTCAACCAATGGTGATGAAGATAAGGATAAGTCTGCATGTGAAGCAGTTTTGCATTTGCATCAATTCCTCCATTCTTTTAGGGGAACAGTTACTGGTACACAAGATCGAACTGCATCCCAAGAGGAAGAGAATGATTCAAGGATGGTCTATAAGGGAAGAGCATGTTATCCCATGTTTTCAGAGGCTATCTGTGAGCCACCCCATCATCCAAGCCCTTCCAATGTCAGTACTTCTGTGGAACTGTAGGGGTCCTAAACACCTTAACTTTATCCGTATGCATGACCAGAGATTATGGTCATCACTGAAACCCATGCTCGGGTGGAAGATGTACGCCATATTATAGATCGTCTTCCATTTGATGCTTGGAAAAACACAGTCACTATAGGCTATATATGAGGGATTTGGCTACTTTGGAGGTCCGATCTCATGGATGTGGGAGACATTTGTGCCACTGAACAAGAGATCCATACTACGGTGAAGGTAAAATCTACAACTTGGTTATTTTTTGCTATCTATACTAGTCCTTGTTATAATGAAAGAATTTTATTGTAGGAAAATTTTTAAAAGTCGTTGCTTCTCACCATGACCTCCCTTGGCAAGTCCCAGGGGACTTTAATAAAGTGCTTAGAAATGAAGACAAAAGAGGAGGTAAACCAGTGTCTTTGGCAAGGTCTAGGGCTTTCAGGACTGTCTTAGCTTCTGCCAACTTGCGGAACTTGGCTTTTCAGGTCCTCATTTTACCTGGTCAAATAATAGAAACATCTTGGACTTGATTAAAGAAAGAATTGATCTTGTTTTTGCCAATCCCACTTGGTGTTTATCCTTTCCTGAAGAAAAGGTTACCCATTTACCTAGAACCTGCTCGGACTACTATCATATCTTGCTGTCATGGAAAAATAAAATGCCCAGAAAGGATCCTAAACCTTTTCGCCTTCAAAAAATGTGGTTTGATCACCGAGAGTTCATGCCACTTGTTCAGAATAGCTGGGACCAAGAGCATTCTTCTTTCACTCAAACAGTGCTAGCCTTGAAAAAAGACATACAAAAGTAGAATGTGAACTCGTTTAGTAACATATTCTTGAAGAAAAAGAGAATCCTTGCTCGGTTGCCGGCATTGAAAAAGCTCTTGGAAATGCACCATCTTCAAAGGGTATTGTTAGATGAATATCGCGGTATCATAAGGCTGAGGATCTCTAGGTGTTTAAGTCCAGGGTTAACTGGCTATAAATGAGAAAGGAATAATAAGTTTTTTCATGTCTCTACCATTCTAAGGAGACATTTTAATAGAATTTCAGGTTTGGAAAATGAAGCTAAGTGGATCATTGAAGCAAGAGAGCTGAGCCAGGTTGTTCAAAACCACTTCAAGAAGTTGCACACCACCTCTCATTCCCAGTCCCTCTCAACTACACTACTAGTCCTAGGCGTGTGGCCAAGCTCAATAGTCAGAAGCAGTTCGACCTCATGAGGCCCGTATCTGACTTGGAAATTCAAAAAACCTTTTAGAGCTTCAAATCGTTTAAAGGCCTAGGCTCTGATGGGCTACACCCTTTCTTCTATCATAGATGTTGGGACATTGTTAAAGAAAAGGTGTAGGCTACTATTAAATCCATTTTCGGTGTTGCATCCATGCCAGAGGAGTTAAATGAGACTTTGGTCTCTTTGATTCCCAAATGCAATAATCCCTCACGGATCGAGCAAATCAGGCCTATCAACCTCTGTAATATCCCTTACAAGGCTGTTTCTAAGATTATGGTCCAAAGACTCAGACCCCTTTTAGATAAAATGATTTCGGATCTCCAAGCAAGTTTCTTTCCTGGGAGGAATGGGTGTGATAATTGCATTATTATCCAAAAGCCAGTTCACTTATTCAAAACAAAGAAAGGCAAACTAGGGCACATGATGGTCAAATTGGACATTGCAAAAGCTTGCGATAAATTCGAGTGGGGCCTTATAAGGAAAGTTCTGGCCTTATAAGGAAAGTTCTTACTTTCTTCAATCTGCCTCACTCATGGATTTCCCTCATCATGAGTTGCGTATCCTCTCCAACCATTGTCGTCATGATGAACAGTGGTATGTTGGAAAATTTTGAACCCTCCAGGGGTTTAAGGCAAGGGGATCCTCTGTCCCCATACTTGTTTATCTTGTGTATGGAATTTTTACGCTTAAAGATTCTCGAAGCAGTGGAGGACCGAAAGTGGCACTCTATTAGAGTTTCACGAAATGGACCTATTTTCTCGCATGTCATTTTCGCAGATGATATTATTCTTTTGGGCAAGTTGATGAGGAAACTGCTAGGACAATGTAAGAGGTCTTAACGGATTTTGTAACGAGTCAGGACAGAATATTAATCTGGAAAAGTCCAGGGTTTTCTTCTCATCCAACACAAAATAAGAGCATAAAGTGGATATTGTAAACCTTTTAGGAATCTATGTCACCTTGGATCTTGGTAAATATATGGGTTTCCGATCCATAAAGGTGGAGTTAGTAGGAATGATTATGCCTTTATCGTTAACAAGGTTAGAACAAAGTTGGCAGGATGGAAGCGAACCTGCTATCTCTTGCAGGCAGAGTTACATTGATCAAGTCTGTCATAGAAAGCATCCCTACTTATTACATGCAGTGTCAGACCTTAATAGGTAGCATTTCCAGTTAATTGGATAGGGTTAACAGGAACTTTATATGGGGAGAAATAGGAAACAAGAAGAGGTTGCATTTTCTAAACTGGAGTGAAGTTACAAAGAAAAAAAAGCGAAGGTGGACTTAGTCTGAGGGAGGCTAGAACCTAAAACCAAGCGCTGTTGGCAAAGTTAGTGTAGGGATTTATGCACCAAAGTGAAGCCCTTTAGTTAGGACTCTAAGAGGCAAATATCTCTAGACTAATGGTGTTGTGAAGAAGGCTTCTAAGGTTTCGGTTACGTGGAAGGCAATGAGGTGCGTAGGTCCTATTGTTGAAAAAGGTTTAGGTTGGATCATCAGAGATGGATCTACTACTAATTTCTAGCACGATAACTGGCTGGGTAATGGCGGTTTGAGGTCCGCTCAATCATAAGGAGAATGAAATAACCGTGAGACAGTGCTTGGAAGCTTTTCAAAACCATCATCTTGTCCTCGTTTCTTTCTAACTCCCTCCTGATTTATTGGACATTATGAGAGCCACTCTTACCCAACTCGTGGGGCAAGAGCAAGATTCTGTTTATTGGGCTGCCTCCCATGGTGGTGTCTTCCTTATCCAATCGGCTTATGACCTTGCCAAAGGAAATAGTCATCATGCGGTCAAAAGACAACGGGAATGGATATGGAAAATAAAAGCCCTACCTGAACTCAAATTTTTTATCTGGCAATGCACGCATGATATTCTTCTAACTTGAACTACACTTGTTAAGAAGGGTCTTAATGTCCTAGACATATGCATGTTTTGCATGCAAGACGTTGAGGATATGCTGCACCTTTTTTGCAACTTCCAATGGACTAAAAACTTATGGGCGACTTTGAAGGACGTTTCTTTTCCCCTACCCGTGAAATCGATGACTGCAAGTAATGGATAAGAAATAATATATTGAGCCATCTTCGATTCATTCATGGCATTCCTTGGAGCTTACTGTTTATTCACATCCTGTGACAGATATGGAAAGAAATAAGAAAGTCTTCAAACAAGGCGTGGTGAGCTTGGATATTGTGATGAAAGCTATCGCAAAAGCGGCTAAGTTCTTTACAATGAATTAAGGTGGAATACGAATGCAACATCAGTCATTCTTGGCTATCATTTGGACTCCTCTGACAGAGGGATGGTTCAAACTTAATACGGATGGTTCGTCCCTCGAAAACCCAGGTAAAGTTGGAGTTGGAACCATCATCCTTGACAGGGATGGAAGATGGGTTTCTGGCTCTGCTAGGTTCATTGGAGTTGGGTCAAACAACTTGGCTGAGCTTTGGGCCCTTAGAGATGTTTTATTGCTTGCAAAAAATCTTAACATTCGTAACCTTGAGATTGAACTTGGTGCCACCACCATTGTTATCCCTATGGTTAAAAACCAACAGATGACTAATCATGTTTTCCAACCCTTGGTTTCCGATTGTAGGACTTTGATGCGAGAATTTGAGAACCAGTATACGCTGCATGTTTCAGGGAAGGAAATAGATGTGCGGATGCCCTTGCCCGATCCGGAAGTAGGAACTTTTGTGATAGCTTTAGCTATAGTGAGGTCACCTTTGTTGTGTTTCATGAACCTCCTTGTTTTGTTAAAGACTTGGTTACTGTTGATACAGCAGGACATGTTATGTATAGATCTATTTTATAATTGAATCTTCCTTCTTTCTTAGATAAAAAAAAATGTATCAAGTAATTCCTTAACAACCAAGAGCAACAATCAAGCAATATCAAAACAAAGAGAAAATTTTTGCCGATAGGTATTCTTTAGAAGCAAAGAAAAAATTAGTTAAAAAAAGCAAAGGAAAAATAGGCGGAATTGAAGGCATACATTGAATGCTTATGTATTGATTGTTACTATGGTCAAATAAAAAAAAAAAGTCTAAATCTGTATCAGTATACATGCATGGCATAGATTTTGCATGCTAACAATTTCAAGTTAAGAGAGATATGATCACATTCATTTCTTTTCTTGTCTCCTTTAAAATACAATATTAACTGTTCCAAGAAATTAAGGAGAGTCATAAAACAACAGCTTTTTCTTTTGTAATTGTAGAAGCAAACATTCTTCAAAATGAATTTTAAAAAATATTAATAACAAAAAACATAACTCACCTTTTGCAAATTCTAAATCTAAGACTTTCCTTCGTATCAAGTTATTTTTCTCTAAAATAATATGTTGCTTTAAAGTTAGCTAGAAGAAGCAAATATGCCTTGTTCTTCTTACCTAAATTCTTCAAAAGCTTTAGTAATATCCAGTGTTTTTATGCCATCTTAAAAAATTTAGGCATAAATCATTTATAGAGAACTCTAATAAATATATGAACAATAATGAAATATCTCTCAAAAAGCATTGCAACCTAAAAGTTCATCAAAGGCGACTTCGATCATGATGCGAGTCATAGATTCTCTGCAAAGCCAAAAGTAAGAATACCCAAATCAAATTCATTTTTACTCTAGAAAAATGAAATGAGAACAAAAATAAAAAAGGAAAAGAACACATGAAATTAACTTAAATTTACATCGCTTCCTGTGATATAGGGTGTAAACAACGAAAACCCTGAGTTTAAGTTCTTCCTAAGTACGTAGTTTACATATCCTGCTTAACATTCTTGGTAAACAAACGAATCAAGGGTCCCAAATATAATTGGCCATTCAATCTTGTAAACTAATCGAGACCGAAATTGGAAAAAGAGATACGAACGGAGAGGAATAACCAATCGATAAAAGAACATGAAACCATTTTGAGGAAACAAAACATGAAAAAAAATACATATCAGAAATTTGACAAATTAAAAAGAAAAAAAAAGACCAAATCAATGAAATAGGTTCAATTAACCACAATATTTTCTAAACTATCTGCTCTTTTCCGATCCTTTGCTCGTTCCTTTCTTTTTTCCTTTAGTGAACAAAAAATGCCCAAACCCTATGAATACCAAAATTAATTATCATCTTATTTTGCTTCTCTTTGTTGCTGTTTCTTTTCATATTTTTCTTCTCGCCTTTCCCTTACTTCTTTTTATGAATATTTGTTGTTATTCGCTAATTCCAAAGTTATCTAGTCTAGAAAGTAAAATCTTAAAAGGTGTAAGTGATTAAAATTTAAGGTTTGAATGTAAAGTATCTAAGTTCGAATCGTTCGATCCCCTATTGATATAAGATTTATAAGTATGAAAGGTTTTAAAAAAAAAAATTAAGATTTGGATGTAAAACATTCAAATTTGAACCCTTCAATCTCTTATTGATAAGTGATTTATAAATTTAAAAAGTCTTAAAAATAAATAAATAAATAAAGGATTCGTAAATTCTTTATGGGTTGGTGGTTGATCTTGACTTTGGAGATGAGATAATCTCTTCTATTCCTAAACTTTAAGCTTTTTTTGACCAAAAAAAAATCTAAATTAATCCCAATAACATAGGTTAATGTCCTAATTACCTCAATTAGAGTCAATTAAAAGTCTAAATCAATCCCGATTACCCTTTAGAGTTAGCTAAAAGTCTTAAAATGTCATAATTAATCTTAAAATCAGTAGCTAAAAGCTTAAAACAATAAAAAAATATATGGGATGCCCCAATTAACCACAAAATCACATGTTAAAAGGCAAAAGAAATCCCAATCAAATTATTCATGACCTCAATTAACTTCAAAATTATCCTTTATGCATCATATTACTTGGATCAAAACTATGCATCAATTTAGCAAATGTCTCAATAAGAGTGAGTTGGGGTTAACCTTTATATATAGGTATTGGTGTTTTGATTTGGATAACAATATTGAAAAATAATCATTTGGAAAAACTTTGATTTTGTTTACTTTAGTTACGGTTTTTAGCGAACAAACCGCTATAACACCTTTAACAACAGTAGGGGTTTTACATGCTTCTACAGGGCCCCTGTTAAAGAAACAAAATGATAAGCTATACGTTTAATCGCCCAATTTTATGCGATTTTTTATTTTTGTCATTGAACTTTTAAATATTATAATTTAGACACTCAATTGTTAGTCTTTAATGTTAAATTGACCTAACAAATTATGTCATCTGACAGACATCATGTAGCATTCCTGGTATGACATTAAAAATTTTAAAAATTAAAAAATAAAGATAATTACATTTTTTAGCACTTAATTTTTTAAATATTTTAATTCTAATCACTCAATTTTGAAAATTTCATAATTTGATCACTAATATTTATACAATTTATTAATATTTTTGTCTCCATCATTACTGGCTCATTGTCACCATAAATTTATAATAATTTGATCATCAATGTTTATAAAATTTAAAATAATTATTTATGTTGTCCATATTAAAATATATTAGAATATTATTCAATTAGATCCTCAAATCTTATAAAAAAATAAAAATAAGAACATAATATCTTTATTACATGAAATTAAATTATAAACTTTTATTTTAGTAATTATATGATTTAAATTTAAAAATGATGAATATTATCCTATTGTAAAAACTAAAATAGCATTACTTCAAAATTTTGTCCTTTATCTCAATCAAATAAATTAAAGTAGTTTATATTTTATAGATTATAATGAAAGTTCATACTTTTAATTTAATCTAATAAAATATTAAAAATACATAGATAAAATTAATAAAATAATTTATATATTAATTTGCACAAACCATTGGTTAAATCTTTATAAAACTATCTTGACGATGACACTATTTTAATAATTTCAAAAATATTATCAGTAATCAAATTATGAAAATTTCAAAGTTTGGTAAGCAAAATAAAAACTTTAAAAAAGTTAAATGGTAAAAAATGTAATTTGTCTTTATTTTTTAAAATTTTAAAATTTAATTTTTTTAAAAAAATTTATAATGCTGTGTCATTAATGACATGTAATATCATAGATGATACAATAATATCATATGATGATTGCCAAATAATGTAACATTATCACAAAAACATGCTGTTAGAAAATAACAATTCGGTGACCTAAAAAAATAATATCAGTAAGCCTTACTAATTCGTGCCATTTTAAAACTTTATGATCTAAATAAAAAGTCGCATAAAATTAAATGAATAAACCTGTAGATTAAAAAAATATGAAGGGCGGTGAATCAAAACCAAACTCCGTGAAACGCAAACCACGAATTCTTACCCATTGGCCATGGGCCATGGAACACATTATCAAAATCAAACAAGGTAATCAAGAAACACCAATGCAATAAGACACGTGTCAGGATTCAATTTTGAGACACAGATTTCATTGGATGAGATTCGATCAATTGTCAACCGACGATATAAACAAACAGCTTCTCTTTCTTCCCTGTCTCTACCAAGTTCGAGCAGAAGCCAGAAAGAGCAAAGCAAAAAATGGCAGCGGAGGTGGCCCTTGTAAGGCCTATCTCCAAATTCAGTACAAGCAGTCCAAGGTTTAGCAACGCAAGATGTGGCAAGTTCACCAGCGTCAAGATGTCATCTACGACAAAACTGGCAAAGCCCAGCAAGAGAGTCGCCAAGACCGTAATCAAAGAGACCCTTTTGACGCCAAGGTTTTACACCACTGACTTTGATGAGATGGAGGCCCTTTTCAACACTGAGATTAACAAGAAGCTCAACCAGTCCGAATTTGAGGCACTGCTGCAAGAGTTCAAGACTGATTACAATCAGACTCACTTTGTGAGGAACAAGGAGTTCAAGGAGGCTGCTGATAAGATTGAAGGTCCTTTGAGACAAATCTTCGTTGAGTTCTTGGAGAGGTCTTGCACTGCTGAGTTCTCTGGTTTTCTCCTCTACAAAGAACTCGGAAGGAGGCTCAAGGTACGTATTTAGTCTTTATATATTTTTGGGAGATGTCATCATGCATTTATTGCTGCATTTTGGGAATTTTTCTTATCATGTGCCTGACCCTAAGATTAATTGTAGTATGTACTAGTTATGCAGCTATTTCACTTATTAATTTGAAGTTATCCCCATTAATCTTCAATTGCACTGAACTTTAATAGCTTTTACCATCAAGTTGAGGCCTTTTTTTTTTTTTTTAATCTAAATGACATGTTGTTTACTGTTTTAACTCGCTTCTCCTGGAGCATTTCCCTTCATTAATTAACTAAAAGTTGACTCAGCTAAAGGTTTCATGAATTGATACTGCAGAAAACTAATCCAGTTGTCGCTGAGATTTTCTCACTTATGTCAAGGGATGAAGCCAGACATGCCGGGTATGCACATTGATGATAGTTATCCCGTGTGGGCATTAGCAAAATTCACAACTTCGTATCCAACTAAGTTCACCTTTTCATTGATTGCAGGTTTCTGAACAAGGGTTTGTCTGATTTCAATTTGGCATTAGACCTTGGATTCTTGACCAAGGCAAGGAAGTACACATTTTTCAAGCCAAAGTTCATTTTCTATGCTACATATTTATCTGAGAAAATTGGATATTGGAGATACATTACTATCTACAGACATCTCAAAGAAAACCCTGAGTACCAATGTTATCCTATTTTCAAGTATTTTGAGAACTGGTGCCAGGATGAGAACCGTCATGGCGACTTCTTCTCTGCATTGCTGAAGGCACAACCCCAATTCCTTAATGATTGGAAGGCTAAGCTGTGGTCCAGATTTTTCTGCCTCTCGGTAATCTTTTATTGCTACATAATCTCTCATAATATCCTCAAGCACTGGCTTTATTTTTTATGTCATGCTACACTGCATTTGAAGTAAGCCTATAGAAAATTCAAGCCTCAGAAAATGCTTAAAGCTTTAATCAGGCACCTACGAGTTTTTCCCTATCATCGTGTTACAATTTTGTCCTGCAGGTGTATGTTACAATGTACCTCAACGACTGTCAGCGCACGGCTTTCTATGAGGGCATTGGACTTGACACTAAAGAATTTGACATGCATGTCATCATTGAGGTAAGCTTCTGGTTCCAATGTCATTTTGGTTAAATTTAAAACATTCCAAGTGATTTTGCTAAAATTTGAGCTCTATGTAGAAATAGTATTATACAGCATGCTTAGTTAATAGCTAATCAAATCCCACTCTATCTTGCATTTGTTCATGTTTTTAATATTTTTACCGTTTAAGATCCAAGTTTCGTAGAAGTTACTAGTAAGCAGCTAATCCTATGTTTCAACAAAATAACTCCATAAGGCCTAGGCAAACAACATATGCTGAACTCTAGAATTTTGGCTGTAATTTTAGTTGTCAATCTGAAATTCCATCCATACAGACAAACCGCACAACAGCCAGGATTTTCCCTGCTGTGCCGGATGTTGAGAATCCGGAGTTCAAGAGGAGACTAGACAGAATGGTGGAGATCAACCAAAAGTTGATTGCTGTTGGAGAGAGCCAGGATATTCCCTTGGCAAAAAACTTGAAAAGGATTCCACTAATTGCAGCATTGGCTTCTGAGCTCGTGGCTACATATCTGATGCCACCAATCGAGTCTGGATCAGTTGATTTTGCCGAGTTTGAGCCACAACTTGTTTACTAATTTTTTTTGTATGAGCTCCATTTGTCTAGAACCTTTTCAGCTTTAATTCTGCTGTCCTGTAAAGGTAAATGATTGCAAGATTCAGCAAATGAAACTGAGAAACAGTTTAATGCCAAGTGACCGTTATTTTCTTGTGTAAACATAAAAATTCTTATTTGCATCAGTTCTTGTCCTTTCTTTTCCATGGCATATTTTATTTTCATAGGTTTAAATGATGCATGGTAGGCCTCTTCCTCAACCAAGAGCTCTCCCTTGTGAAGCTATTTGATTCTAAGAATGGAAATTGGGGCTACAGAAAAACAATAATTAAGAAGAAGCTGTGCTTAACTCAAATATTTTGCTATGATTAATTGGCTTCCTACCAACAAAACCGTGGCTTGAATTAGCACTTTACAGCCAATTGACCATCTTATAAAACAAATACGACAAAAATTTCATATCTGCAGGAACCGTGGTCAGCTGATCCAGTCGGTCAAATTCTTGTATCCTAGTGTCAAATGGTCAAATGTTAAAAGAAATCAACATTACCTTGGTTAATTTAAAGAATTTATATTTGATGTATTATTAGAACATAAATTTTATACATTATTAATGAATTAGATAAAAGCATCTCATTAATGAAGTGAATCGAATGATATCACTTTATTAATGAATAATTTTTTTAAAATATTAATGGTTATATATTTATTTTAAATATTGATATTTGTATCATATGATTTATTAATTGATAATATATCAAATATAAACTTTAATTTAAATACAATGATTGTTGATTTTTTATTGTTGAAAACTTTAATTAATGTTATAAAAATTAATAGCTCGATTAGATTTATTTTCAAGTGTTAGCTTTCAATTGACCATTATTTGGAAATGATAAAATTTTAATTGTGGTTTTCAAATTAAATATTTTAAGTTTTTTTTACCTTCAAAATTAAAGTTTACTTCAAAGATCTTTAAAGATTATTTGTTTGAGTCTAAATACAAATTCAATTATTATTCAAAGCATAAATTGTTTTCAAAAAAATACTATTGATATTCAAAAAATTTTTTATGTATTTAATTTAAAATACAGATCTAATTAATATTCAAAGAAAACTTATTTGTCTTGAATTTAATATAATTTTTTCATTATTGGGTTTGGGATCTATGTACTTTAGTCGATTAGAACTTTTGTTTTTGAAAAGAAAAATATTCTTGAACTCTAATATTTTATTTAAGAAATCAAATTTTGAAAAAAATTAAATGTGAAGAAATATTTTTATTATTAAGCTAAAAGAAAGTCAAAAATTATTTTGCAAATATTTATTTTGGAACTCATATATTTAGTAAAAATTATATATTTTTAAATCAATTTAACATAAAATATTTTAAATAATTTGTTTTATATCTAGTATTACAATTTTATAAAATTATAAATTCATTCAAATATTAGTTTTAATATATATATATATATTTGACTATAAACATTTAAGATTTTATCTTCACTTTTTGATTACTTGAAATTAGTATTTAAAAATTAATTTTTGATGTAAGATACAAATATTTCCGTACATTACAAATATCCAGAAGACATATTTTTGTTTGGATTACTGTTGTAAATAATTTTTAAATTATAATAAAATTAATTTTGCTATCCGTACAATAAACAGATTACTTTTATTTTATTTAAATTTAGATAAAAATAAAAATTAATATTATTGAATTATTTACATATTCAAAATATATGTAACATATAAATAATATAATTAAAATATCAAACCACAATAAAAATAAGATTTTCTTTTTCAATTCTAGTGAAAACTATAAGGAATTTTCTGTTTGTTAATTACAAAATTATCATAGAATTCATATATATATATATATATATATATATATATATATAGGAATCATGGTGAAATCTTTTATGATTCTGAAGTTTTTTTAAGTTAAGATATTAATTAACTTGAAATTAATACTACTAATAAGGTTATCCCTAAATTTTTTTTCAATTTTATTTTTTTATGAAAAGTAATCTCCTAATTTAAAACTATGTTATATGTTTCAAAATGGAGATATGAGTTGAGATATTATACACTTTTTGCATATATAACTGGCACATAAATTTTTGTTTATGACACATAACTCTATTATATCAATTAATCAAAGCATCATTTTTATTTTATACGAATGAAAAATATTTAATAAATAATCAGTTAAAAGACAAAATATATTACCTAATTGAGTGGAGAATCCACAAAAAAAAATAAAAAAGTCTATAGAAAACACCAGTAAAAATATAAAAATATATGTATTTTTGTAGTTTTTTTTAAAAAATTACAACTAAAAGAAACATTACAACCGATTTGAAAAAAAAATCTTATCTGATGAAGTGAATAATATATTTAGTGAAATAATATCCATCATTAGAAAAAGCATGTTAGTTCTTGTAGCAAGAATAGAGTAATAAAAAGAAAGACTAAATTAATAGTAGGAAAAAATATGTTTAGTTCAGTGGAATATTGGGAAAGCTATATAATTAAAAACTACCAACAATAAAAGCTTTTCTGAAATTGTTATGGTATTTAAATATATTTTTTCATATTTCTTTCGTGAAATATATTTAAAAGTTGAAGATAATTTAGCAATTATTTATAAAAAAAATTAAAGATGTTAAATAATATTTTTAAAGTTGTGATAAATTTTAAATATTCATGTTAACTATAGATAAATTAAAAAAAAATAAATTACCTTAAAATTGGTTTTAAATTGAGATGAGATGATGTACAAAAGAAACTTGATGTACAAAAGAAACTTTTGTAAAATTGCTTTGGTATTTATATTTTTTTTTCACATTTTTTTGTAAAATATATTTAAAAACTGAAGATAATATAATGATTATTTATAAAAAATAAAGATATTAAATAATATTTTTAAAAGTTGTGATAAATTTAAATATTTATGTTAACTACAAATAGATTAGAAAAGTAAATTATTTTTAAATTGATTTTAAATTGAGATGAGGTGATATATAAGAGAAACTTTTTTTAAAATTGTTTTGGTATTTATATATTTTTTTCACATTTCTTTCATGAAATCTATTTAAAAACTAAAGATAATGTAAGAATTATTTATCAAAAATATTAAAGATATTAAATAATATTTTTAAAAGTTATGATAAATTTAAATATTCATGTTAATTTCAGATAAATTAAAAAAGATAAATTATTTTAAAATTAATTTTAAATTGAGATGAGGTGATGTACAGGAGAAAGAAATTTCATTAAAATTTAAATTAGTTTTTGATTAAATTTTAAATTTTTAAATAATTTAATAATTTTTTAAATATATTTTTATAAATAATTTAAAATTAATAAATATCTTATGTGTTATTATATGAAAAATTTTAGAAATTATTTTATATGTTGAAAAAATAAACTATTTATATAAGCATTTATGCCAACAATTGCTATCTATAATTACGTATATTGTAATATAATATATATATATGATATATGATTTTAATAAGATATTTAAATTTTAAAAAATTTAATATATTTAAAATATAAATATGTTAAATATAATTAACTTTAAATAATAACAACTAAAATAATTTTATAAATATTATATTAAATATTAATTAATAAATTCATAATTTAAACATTAAAACTTTTAAATCTTACCTTGACATTAACACATTTTTAAATTCAAATTTAATAAATTCATGATTAAAGCCATGACATCAACTCTTTTATTTTTTTATTTCTCAAACGGTTATGTCCCACGCCACATCAGAAGCACCGGAAGCTCACCTTAAGGAATTTCCCATAAATTTTGCGCGAAAGTTCGTTGGTAGCCCCACATGTGGAGAAATCTGTCGGCTTTCCCTGCTGTAGTTCTGAGGAAGTTGTAGAAAACATGGATGAGTGAAATAAGATGAGCTAAATCTGGAAAGAGGGACAATCAGACTGTAATTAACAAAAGCTGAAGCTGAAAAGGATGGGTAGGGTTCGGCTGATTCTATACGATTTTATTATCTCCTTCATGTGGGTATGGTCTGGTTGTTTGGTGAAGATGTTTGTGGTCGAGTGTTTAGGGATGGGTCACCAACCAAAGGCCGAAATCGTGACGGGTGCTTTATACGTTATCAACATGTTCTTCTTTGCATTCTTAGCCAAGGTTACCAAAGGTGGAACTTACAATCCTTTGACTGTTTTCTCTTCTGCCGTTTCTGGGGATTTCAACCACTTTCTTTTCACTGTTGGGGCCAGAATTCCTGCCCAGGTTACCTCTTGGTTTTTTTTTTTTTTTTTTTCCTTTTGACAGAAAATATATACATATATTTGTTTTTAATGATTTTGTTAAGGTCTCCAATGCTTACGCAATGCCCGCTTTAGTGGTACTTTTCGATTTCATGGCTCCAATAGGTTCTGTTTTATTGCTTAATCCACTTTGGTCAAGTATATTGGGGATAAAGCACATCAATTTATGCTTGGTGTTTGATTGACCACTATATAATTAGATTTCCTTAAGTAGCTTGTCTGAAATCTTAATTTAAACTCCTCTAGGGCATGATACTCTTGTTTGAATCCTCTGCCACTACCATCCATCTCATGCTTGCATCAATTCAATTCATTTCTTACTTGTAAATTTGGGACTATAATGTTGTTTGTTCATACCACATTAACATGGATTTGTATGTACTGGATAACTACACAATCCAAGTGTCTCGTTCTTTAGATGGTACCTGTCGTACAGAATTGTATGTCAAAATCAGTTGTCTCATCAATTTTACCCATTGGATGTCAAGATGGATGGATGGATGGAGGAAATTAGTAGTAGAAAACAGCTATAAGCATATTTTCGAATACCAGGGTCGATTCAATTTTTTTCGAAAGATAAAGAGAGTGCTTTTATGATCATTTCAACTGTTTGGAGGTCTGGACTTGAATTATGAATCCTATTAGGAAATATAGTGGCAAAGAGAGAAAGAATTACAATTTTGAGGCTTACCTTTCATCAGCCTGATAGGGTTCAAAGCAGGTAATTAACTTTGGAGGTCTTTTAGTTCTGTAACATCTCCATGATGTTAGCCCCCCCCCCCCCCCAAAAAAAAAACAAAAAAAACTTTTTCTGAGAAAAATGTTCCTTGCTTTAAATGGAATAACATTCTAAGTATTATGGATTGAGTATTAAGGCAATAGGACAACTTTAAAAAAAGGATTCTTTATTTTTCTTTTCTTGGTATTTTATATTGTTTTGTCTTATGGGTTTATTCTTGTTTCTTGTTGATGATAGATTGGCTGATTGGGTATTTGATTCACTTCTGACTGGTTTCTTTTGTTTTTACTTTCATTTTTAATTCCATCATTTTCTGTTTAAGCATTTAGTTCTCTTCCTATATTATTCTTTCCCTTTAGTCAAGAATCTAAACATAATAGTGATAGAAGGTGTGGAAGCAAAATGTGGGTGTGCTACATAATTCTGAATATTTTTGGTCTACCAAAGGATTTTTCCTTGGCATTTGGCTCTAGTTAGTGCATTGTTCTGTTAGGACAGGTTTTTCTGTAAGGACATGACTTGTTACATGGTACACTCATGGTCTAGAGAGAAGATGTTTAACTTTAGAGAAAAAAAATAATAAGTAAGGATTCTTAGAAAGCATGAGAATAGAAAACAAAAATTGTTGATATTGCTAAGAACTTGGGTTAATTTCTTGTAGCATTTTCACAAATTTCTTTTGCTTTCCTTTTTCCGTTGATGACCGGGAGCTTATAGTTCTCATGACCTATGATCTAAACATTTTCAGTTTGGGCTGATCAAGTTATTTTCCAAAGCTATGTGCTATCTCAAATTTGCATCTTCCCAAGGGCAAAAAACCATACTGCTGATTGTATGATAGCATCAAAACAGCTTTTTTCTTTGCACTTTCTTTAGGTTGAGGTTATTGTTATTTCTATTTCATGTATCCTTCAGGTAATTGGATCTATTACTGGGGTTAGGCTCATTATTCAGACCCTTCCTGGAATTGGACTAGGGCCTCGTTTGAATGTTGACATCCACTGGGGTGCACTAACTGAAGGATCTTTGACATTTGCAATTGTCATCATCTCACTAGGGCTTTCTAGAAAGATCCCTGGCAGTTTCTTCATGAAGACATGGATTACAAGTGTCTCCAAGTTAGCTCTTCATATTCTTGGCTCTGATCTCACTGGTGGATGTATGAACCCTGCCTCTGTGAGTACCCAAAATTATTAACTGCATACCTTGCACATCTTGCTTCAAATTCTTTTAGTCCCAATGCGTTCAATAGCAAACTTAATAGATCAAAACCATTTAAAACTTCTAGGTGATGGGATGGGCTTATGCCCGTGGAGATCATATCACGAAGGAGCATATACTTGTATACTGGCTTGCTCCAATTGAGGCAACTTTGTTGGCAGTCTGGACTTTTCGGTTGGTAGTTAAGCCAATAACAGAGGAGAAAGAAAATGTAAAAGCTAAGTCAGAGTGAGTTCCTCTGCTTTTCTTTTTTTTTAATTCAATTGACTAATCTGTGAGTTCAGTAGAAGTCAAACGTATGTAAGATTCAAGGATTGAAGAAAATTCAATCTGTTTCTGCATGGATTTCTTTGATTCAGGAGTCTGTATATACTATAAACGGATATTATTATTTGTTTCTAATAAATTTATCTCCTCGTTGATCTTATTACATGTGCCACATTTCCTTGGTAATTTGGTTGTTGAGTTTGATATATTGACTGCGAAAGTAAATGATGTAGAACAAGTAGATGAAAGAGATGGAAAATAGATAGCTAGAGGGGAAATAAGAGATAGGGGAAAGCAATTAGGGAAAACAGAGGAAATAGACGGTAAAAATAGAAATAATAAGTTGTTGAAGCACCAGCATCCATGTATATCACTGTCAAATATGAGCTCCACTTCTGGAACTATTTCTTCAACACACTTGGAATGATGAAACCAATAGAAAAGATTATCATTAAAAACAATGAGCTTAACCTCTGTAATTGGAAAAATAAAAGTCCCTGGTAGAATCCTCAATCGGTAGTAGCTCTCTAGAGTTCCTATTTGCATCAACAGCTTCAAACTCAATCTCGAAATTTTTAAACCCGACCTCTAGGTTCTCAACCTCATTAGTTTAAAAACTATGTCGACCTTCTAATTCTTCCAGTGCCTGATAACGCACTTGTTGCTTCTTAATCTTAGGCTCTAAATGGCATACTCGTCCCCAAGCATGTCAACAATTGGTTCTTAAATTGGTTACTTACTTTCCCTAACCACTCTACATGACTTCCACTTTAGCAGTTACAATATGAGCTTGCCCTTCTTTATAAGCACATTGGAGGAACCTGTTTTAGAAAAAGGAATTTGAAGATGCATGAACTTTTCGAATTGCCAACAGTCACATGATTTGTTGGTGGAGTATCGGATTTTTAATTATAATAATCAAATTTAAGTTTTAACAATCTTAAGTAATAAAAAAAAAAAAAAGAAATTCCCAATTTAGTTTTAAGTTTCATTTATTTTCTAATTCCGTTAATCTATCTTTAACAAACTGTAATCTTCAATTTTCAAGTCTTTTCTCATTTGTGAGTAAGTAATCTTTGAAATAATGGTTCTCATGACATACTGAAGGACGAAAGAATTTTAAAGTCATATTTTTCTCCCAAAGCTATCAACTCATTTAAATGCGAAGTAGCTTCACAATTATCATTTTCCAAACTGTCTATTTGCTCCCGAGATATAATGTTCATCTCAAAAAAAAAAAAAAAAATTTGTTTTATAAGTTGAGCACAAGATTCTGTAACTTTAGAGGATGAATCTTGTAAAGGAGGATCTCAAAACTTTGAATTATGAATAAATGTTTTTTAGAAACTTTGAAATAAATATATATTAGTTTGTGACTCGTGTGATGCACAAATAATTTTAAATATGTAAATATACGTACACAAATAATTATTTAAAAAAAAATTTACGTATAAAGTATTTTAATATAATACATCCAAATTCTATATTTTAAAAAATTTCAAACACCCCTAAAACTATAGTTAAATCTATGTTTTTGCATTATGTAGTGAAAGTAAATATCACTTACCTAAAGCTTTTATTACTTATCCTGTTATTAGAAATTTTATGTAAAGTATCGGAGATACTTTTCAAACTTTTGTATACTCTCGGATGCCTCACTTGTGGATATTAATAGCAAAACAACGTATAATTTGGCATTAGAGATTAATAGTAATGGTTAGAATTTATAGTTTCTAAACTTGAAGCTTTTTTGAAGGTTGAATATAAAAGGTTTCTATTTAAAAAAAAAAAAAAAAAAAAACTAAAAAACTAAAAGATAAGGTAGTTTTCCATGTTTATGGCATACGAGAAAGTTGCATCATCATGTATCCTAAATAAAATAAATTTACATATTTACAAAAATAAATATTAAAGGAAAATATGATATCAATTCATTTTTTCTCGAATTTTTTTCATAATTCAACAAAGATACGATTTATTTGTAAAGTTTAAATTCGAATTTTAATACCAAATGATTTATAAATCTAAAATATAAGTTTTGTGTAATTTACCTTGATATGATGAAATAAAATAACCTAATAAAAGTTTACAAACATATGATGAAGCAAAATATTACAAACATTTTGCCTATAATAAAAGTTAAAGAATGAGATTTTTTCGGGTCAAAAATATGATAAAGCAAAATATTCATTGGACTTAAAGCTTTCAACAGAAATAAAATTATTGGGTCTGATTTGACTTTCAATCCATCTCCTATAACATTTTTAGCGCATTTCACTTCCAGCCCATCTCTCATAATAAATAATGAGATTTTCCGAAATTAACCCTCAAATCATTTTTAATGGAAATACTGACCTGGCTTCAAAATTTGGGAGCTAGATAACTTTAATAATATGTATAGATATTAGATATTAAATACAGTTTGTAAATTTTAATTAATTAAAATAAAGCCAACTAAAGCAGGGAAGCCTTGAGCGACAGAACCGCCAAGTCAAATTTCAATTCAAGAAAGAGAGAGAAGGAATAAAGGTTCATTCGCATGACAAATTTTCTTGATCTATTTTCAGGTATGCATCTATCAAGATCTAAATAGTCATAAATTTTGTAATGAATATGCAAAAGATTGGCCTAGAAAGGTAGAAAATTGAAGAGAGAGATACAAAAACAATAGGATTGCAAAACAAAGACTCGGACAATCAAAAAAGATGTGACAGCTCACTGCAACACATGAATCGAAATCAGAAACCCCTTTAGCGCTGCCTCACGATTCATTTACAGTGAAGGTTGATGCCCTTACATTTTTCTGTCATCATGTCCAACATCACACCTGTTCCAGATTGCTTGTATCTTTACAAGTAAATGAGAAAAGTTAATTAAAAAAAAAAAAGATCTTTCATATCCTCTACAGAATGTGGGTACTCCGTCCAAACAAATCCAGATGATCCTCCAAACCCACTCCATGACCACGCTACAAGAACACGTTCTCGATAATACTCATCGGCATGCTTCATTTTTTCATAAACCGAGAAACTCCATTGCCAACTGAAGATATAGCAACTGTATATGAACTGGACCATGGGAGAATTGCAACCATTGCCAAAATTTTGAATAGTCCAGCCCCAGGAGATGAAACTCTGAGTATCCCATGAGTTCAACAATTGTCTTTTAAGTATCAGGGATTTCCAGCAAAATACTGTCACGGTTAGCATGCACTAATCATCAAGATAATCGAGTTGATTAATCCAGCCAAATTGGCTTTATGACATAAACCTAGGTAGATTCGTCAATTTCCTTCCCATGATCTTCATCATGAATACTTCTCTTCAACCTTCTTAACCATATGTCATAATCCATAGGATAAGGCGTTCCACACAAACTATCAACATAATCAGCAAATGCTTTCAATACCGTTGAGACATCACCCAATTTCTGCTGAATCAGTCTCCTAGACCATGTGCTCTCTCTCCACTGTAGTGCCCCTTCAACAGAATCAAGACCAGGCAAAGCACCTCCACATGCAAAATAAAGCATGTAAACTAGGCTTTCAGCATCTGATGCTGAGCACAACTTTCCCTCCTGTAGAGCATAAGTAGATGAAAAATGAAGGTTCATTGCAGGGCGGTCCTTATCTTCCAAAATAGCATGTCCCCAACCAATTAGGACAAAATAAGGATGCCTTTCACCAGACCTTACACAAATCACATTTTCAGGCTGAATGTCTCCATGCCTAATGCCATCTGAAGAGGCAGTAGAAAGCGCAGATAAACAGTCATGACAACACCTGATAGCCTCATCCACACCAAAGCGACCTTCTTTAACCATATCAGCAACTGTTTCACCAACTGGGATGGTGACAAGAATTGGGGTGCCACACCAAGGGTGATCACAGTTTCCACCTGAACTGGGTCTCCGACACTGACCAGGATGAATGATCCTTCCAGATGCACTCAATTGGGGCAGATACTTGCTAGACAGGCCTTTCTGTTTCATGATAGTCAATACTTTGGTTTGTCTCTGAACTTGATACCACAAATTCATATCTTCCCATGCCGGTTCCAGCAGAGAAGGATGTGAACCCACATAGAGAAAGAGGGACTTTCCTGGGTCTTCAACTGGCGATGCAATGTAATAAGGAAGCTCACCATTACTCCTGACTTGGTTAATCTGATAACCTCTTTCCCAGTTTGAATCCTCCAACCATAATACTGATCCTACTTCCAGCTTCAGTGAATCCTCAGACTCAATTTTGTCAGGTTCACCCTGAACTTCGACAATTTCAGGAGAAACACCATGCTGCTTGAACCTAAATAAACCACTCCCATTCAGTCTAGTATGCCCTAATTGCCTCTCCACTCTCCTGGTTTGGAGACGAGAACCATGGTCAGCAGCTAAATCTTCAATGGAGAGCTTAGGCAGGCCAGCAAACTGCATAATACAGTAAAAGGTTGCAAAAGTTACCTGCAAAGCACCAATATCTCCCCAATTGGCATTCCCAAGCTTGTTCCAGATCCTATCAACTGGAGATACAGCGATTTTGGCATGCCTTTTTATCCACTCAGCAGCACACTCATAGACATTATTCACATCAAAATCCATTTTATTTACATCTCCTTCAACTTTCACAACCCCACCATATTGAGAATCAACAAGAAGAACAAAGACAGCATTTGAACCCAGGGGATAATTCTGTCTACTTAAGCTTCTTGATATAAGCATGTGCAATGCATAAAAAAGAGCCTCACCTAGAACACGCAGAGAAGGCTGTTGATTGCTTTCCATGGCAAGGCTTTGGATATCAGGCCTCAAAAGAGCCAGTTCGAGAAGATTGTCCCACTTTCCATGGGGATGTCTAGGGTTCTTAAGCAATACACCAGTAGCACATAAACTTCTAAGCTTCCCACTAGCTATTGCCTTCTCTGCCTGGTAAAATTTTAAATTATCTTTGTAAAGGCAAGCAACGGAGAAAGGCATTGGGTCATCCTGACTCCAAAATGCCTCCCACAAGCCCTTCACAGTTGCATGTAAAAAATCTTCAACAGCAAGATAAGCAGTTCCTTCAGCAGCATCAGATGTTGAAGCATAAACAGCATTTGGCATCCGAATAAGCTGTTGGAATGAAACCCCTTCCAATGCATAGTCAAATTTTTGAACCTCTATCAACTCAAAAGGTACATCAAAGGCAGGCCTGTTCGGTGCTGATTTCTCATATATTGATTGAAACCAGTCTTCAAGATTTGCAGTAAAAATTTCACAATCAGTAAATTTGTAGAAAAATTCCTTGTGACTACGAGATTTACTACCAGATGATACAGTGGACCTTTTTGTCCCAGACCCAACTGATTCCTGGTCTGAGGAGCCACCTGTCACACATCATGTCTATTTGAAATAAGCTGGCAATTAAGATAAATTACAATAAAACGCACAAAAAAAGTGTTCAAACAAATAGAATAAGACTTATAACTACTTTTAGTACAAATTGAATAGGGTGTAGTTAAAGGTTCACAATCTTTTGATTTTAGTCTTTATTTATAAAGCTATGCACTCCATAAGAAACCGAATATATACATAGAGAAACTAAAGCATTTCATATTGAGGTCAAGAAAATGATGCAAATTCCAGAAATCAACACTACCTGACAAGAAACTCCTAAATTGAAACAAATAGCATGTTATTATTCTTCCTCCCAACATTTTTATCCCAGCTATTTCTCACACTTGATGTGAAAAAAACATCTATTTTTCAACTTTTAACATGTATTTATGAATAGTTGATCCACTTTGCTAGATATTATCCTCGAATTTGTTGAACAAATTTTTGCCAAATCAGGCAGAATAAAAAGTTGTAACAAATGTATTGGCACATGTAGCAGAACTCTCATAAATTCAAAAGAAACACTTAAGAAATGATCTGAAATTTAAATTGTCAAAACACAAAATTCATGCTTTAAATCTTATTATCCTAATCATCAAAAGCTACCTAAAAACTCTGAAAAAAGGCATCTATTTAAATGATCTTAAAAAACATAAATTTAAGCCCACATAAGTCCGACAAAGTCCATATCATAAATAAAATAAAATAAGCCCAAAAGCTAAGACCATTTCTTCTAAATGATCATCTATAATTGGTACTCCTCCAAGACAATGGTCCTTACTGCTCCAATAAGTTAATGAATTCATAGGAAGGGAAAAAAGGAAGAAAAGGAAGGAAAAGGAAAAGAAAAATCATATGCTATCAAAGTTTCAGTTTTAAAAAGCTGCTTTATTACTATCTCAATAATCATTTTTATTTCACTTAAAATATATCACATTTTTCTATTGAACACAAAGGTTCATCCAAGATCATATGCAGGATGTTGTAGAAATAATCAAAACACGGTATTAATATAATGTACATTTTGGATGCTTGTGACAGTCATTATCTGCCTCCACAATTCTATTTACTTAATTCATTTACATTTAAATTTATTCTCTCATTTTTTAATAAATGAAAAGACATTTACCAGAGCAAAAAGGCCTAAGCCATTGCAATAAACCCTTGCAACATTGCAAAAAAAAAAAAAAAAAACACCCATTTCGAGTACATTGATTAACAGAATCTTCGTACAAGATAAATTGTATGACAAGCAGTGTTGTTACAATGTCCACCCAGGCGCTGCTCCATACTGCCAGACATCAAAGGCACCTCAGACCCTTTCAGGCAAGGCTTATTTGATCAAGCACACAGCTGGTGCACCTAGGGACAATTTTTTGTAAGGCAGTAGGCACATAAAAAGCCCACTGATTGAAGTTCTCTTTAATTTCTTTACTTTTAATTTTTTTCATTAACTGGACCTTTAATAGTAAAAAAGAAGGATAATATCAAACTCTCTTCTCAATGTTTGAGTAACAACTAACATGGGACCATACAGAAATCATATATATTGGCAAAAAAAGAAAATTTTGCATGTTTTGTAGGATAAAATGGACCATCCCTTTAAGTTTATTTTCCGAATTATTTATCTTAAGCTTATTTGATATATCACACACATACAAAAAAACACACACATATATAGTGTGCCTTACTTCACTCAAGTGAGTGCCTTTTTTTTAGCCTTGTGCCTCAGGCAATATAAGAATTCTAGTGCCTTGTGCCCTTGACAACACTGAATTGACAAGAATACGGCTATGCAAAAGCACTATCCGAGAAAGTATGTTTACCAAAAAATGATTATGCTACTCAATCAAACAGTGACTATGCTACTCAATTATAGAAAATACCACAAGGTATCCTAATGAAGGACAGAACAGAAATATACTAGTTGAGGGATTAAGTTACCTAGGCCATTTTAGATATTAATGTTATTTTATATTAATTAGTATTTTATTTATTTTCCAAGTATCAGAGCTTAAGTGTTATATTTGTATTTTGCATCCTTGCTACGGTTTAGGGTTTAGTTATAAATATCTATGTTATTTTAGTTTCGCATAGGCTTGGATTATGAGGTATTTGAGATTCTGATATTTTTTGGATCTTTGAGTTTTTGGTTGTTGATATTAGACTTTTTGGTAGAAAATTCAGATTATTTTTTGAGTGTTTGGATTTTAGAATGATTGCTCTAGATCATATCCTCTAAAGCTGACCATTTAAGTAAAACCAGAAGAAAGAACACAAAAGCAAAAGCTGTCCTTATGGTACTGAAGTAATGCCCAAATGAATCCAAGGACAAGAAAATTCAAGTAAACAAAAAATCCCACAGGTGGATGATTTCTCAAGAAGTATCATTCTTGCCTATATAGATACTATTATAATAATTAAAAAAAAAAAAAAAAAGAAACAAGATGCATTACTGTACAATCAAGAAGGATTCTATCTCCTTGATCTAAGAACCAAAATTCCACCCTTTAAATTGACAAATATGAAGAATGAATCACACTACTAACTGAATCCACCATCCTCAATATTGTAACTGTATTTTTTACATATTGTTTTAAATCTCAGGTCTCTTCATACTGCAAAAATCTTTCCAAGTTTCAAACAAAGTAATGGCTTCAAACATTCATAGAAGCCAAAGCAATGGTGTTCAGGAACATGAACAGTAAAACTTCCATAATGCAGGAACAAAAAGTGAGAACTGAGATTATATAGTTTTTTAAGCAATATTTGCAAGACATTCTTAGGTCTAGAAATGTGTCATGTATAGTCGTGCACACCAAATCCAATGAAAAGGAAAAAAGCTACCTCATTTTCCCAAGAGAAAATGATGCATTCAAACACTAATACAGTGATATAATGAGGTAAAATTGTAATGCCATGCTCCCTAAGAAGGGCGAAACTGAACAAATCCCAAGGATAGCATCTATTTGCACACAGCAACAACTTCGGACACAAAAGCCAGCTATGAAAAAACGCTGTTGGACTAAGGAAACCAGACAATAAGAGAAGCCATTGTCCTAAATAATCCATGGCAAGGAACAGACAACAAAATACAGCAAAATCACCCTCCCACAAAAAGAGATGCCATTTATGTCAGCCTCTTGATGCTAACGTCACAGAGTAGTTCCAGGCTGACCGTGAACATCTAGTAAACTTGTCTTAAGAAGACCAAACCATTTCTATCAATAATTCAATCATATGCAAAAGAAAACTGGCTATAGAAGAATACAACTTAAATTTTCCTGTCTTCAGTTTCTAGTTTATGGATTAAGCCTATCTTACCTTCCCCCAATTTTCTTTAAAAAAAAAAAAAGAAGAAAGGAAATGGACAATAAAATATAGCAGGAGATCACGCTGGAACCAAGCTGAATTGCATAAAAAATAATATGAATAGAAACTGTTATTCTCCTAAAACTTACACGCGCTTATGATTAAAAAAAAATTAACAAAAAAGAAAAAAAAACAAAGAAATGCAAAATTCAACATAATTCAGATAACAAGAAAGCAGTCTATGTTAACGGAAATGAGCAGATGATCAAAGCATATCCATATATAACCAATTAAAGAAGAAAAGAGAAGGAAGAACAAAAAAGAAGAATCAAAGACGTGCTGGAAGTAAACAGAGAGTAAAAGCAAGAGTGGAGTCAGAGAGAGAGAATTTAGGGTTTAAAATTTGAGGAAGAAAGAGAAAGAAGAGAATATTACCTTCCATCACCACAGACAGCGGCTTCCTTCAGATCTCTGTCTCCCTAATTTCAACGTCGTCCTTTCTCCTCAGTCCAGTGGGACATCCCGTGTGTTTCTATGAGTTTTTCGCTGGACCAAAGTCAAAGCTCATTTCATTTCTTTCTTTTTTTTTCTTCCTTTTTCCAAAATCACTCTTGAAAACACTTATAATGACGACCATTCACGTCATTAGAGATAATTTTATCTGTGTTTTTATCCTTGTTAGGAAATATTGGATACTTGTTCTTTCGCAAAAGGGTTGAAAGCCTATGAAATAAAAATTTCATAATTATTTAAGTTTATGATATTTTATTATAACTAATTAAAGTTTGAATATTTATTTTTATTCAATTAAGACTTTAAATATTTATTTTTATTGTAATTGAATCTCGATTAAATTAAAATAAATAGTGAGATTTAATCAAATTTTATCTTATAAGAGTTCAATTGATGAATGTTTTAGAATTTAATTTATTGTAAAAAAAAAATTTCATCTAATAAAAATCTAATTGATGAAAATAACTGTTTAATGACTTAATTGATTGATAATTATTGAATTTTATTTAAAGATTTTTTTTAATCCTTTAACCTTGTTCTTTTAATTAAGGGCCTTCTATTTAAAAATCTAGACTTACACTTAAAACAATATCAATTTTTTTTTCTTCCTCTCATGCTTTGCATCAAAATTTCAGTGCTTTTAATACTCGTTGTTCCTCCATTAACCTTTCTCACAATCTCTTCTCCAAAGGTAATTTTTTTTTCTTCTATTATTTTATTCTCATGCTTTATGCATTATCCATTTCTCCTTTTGTTTAGTTGAAGTGAGAAACATGATGAAAATTCTTAACTTGGTTAAGTTTCACTGACGGGCCATTATACATACATACATAATATATATATGGTTAAGACAGATTTCTTCATATGATTTCATTACAACACATTTTTTGCTTTTTTTTTTATATATAATTCAATGTTTGGTTGGTAAGAAATTCCTAGGAAAAGTTGAAATTTTTATGCATTTGTTTCTAAGTTTGTCAGCATTTTCAATCCTCATTGTAGTCCTTTTTGGATTTATCAGAAAATAGTTTAAGAAGCTTTCTTTGCATCATTATAATTGCTACACAATTTTGCTTCTTTCTCTTGATAAATTCAGTGTTTAATAGCAAGAAATTTTTAGGAAAAGTTAAATCTTTAGTCTGTTTCTGGATTTTTAGCATTTTCAAACCCCATTTCAGTCCATTACTTATTTTTATACTAATTTTTCTTCTCTTACAATTCAATCGAGCTTGTTGCAAATTAAAGAAGAGATGATAATAAACATAAAATTTTATGTGTTTAAGATATATATATATATATATATATATATCTAAGTAAGTTATAAAACTTACTAAATATATATATCCAATAAATTTTATTAGTTTTCAATATACATTTTTAATAAATTTTATATGTTTTTGGATATATAAATTCGATAAAATTTATATATTTTTAGATATACATATTTAATAAATTTTATATGTTTTTGATATTAAGAGTGTAATTGATTGAGCTCAAGTCATTACAGTATTAAATTCAAATTTTAGTTCGATTTGAAATTTGAAGTTCGAAATTCGGTACAAACTCGATCAAATTTTATTTTTCTAATTCGATATCGATTTGAGATAAAAATTCAGTTATTCAAACTCGTTCGATTATGCTTAATTAGGTTCGATTAATATATAAAAATAAACTTGATTTTTATATTCGATAAAAAATTAATTATTTATTCTCAAGTTCGAGTTCGATGTATTTTATTAATTAAAATAATAAAAATATATTTAAATATAAAAATTCGATTAGATTCATAAGTTACTTGAATTAGATATAAAAATACTTGAACTCAATTCGATCGATAAATCGAACTATTCGAATTTGAGCTCAATTTGATAATAATCAAGTTAACTTTAAATTTTATTCGAATTAAACCAAAATAACTTGTGAATATTAAAATATTATTTTACATTCTTACATAATATGTACACGTATCCAATAAATAAAAATAGGTGTATAGAAGGAAGAGATAAAAAGGTAATTTATGAAAAGCTAATATAAAAAGGTAATTTGTGAAAACCAAATTTAAGTAATTTTTTATGAGATAATTTTGTAACAAAAAAAAATTAGGTGCATTGAATAGTTTTTGGGTGAAAGTCGAAGCTCTCCTTAATTTATAAGTTTTCAATCACTGTTATTAAATGTATAAGAAAAAGATACAGGTGGAATATTCCTTGGTATTATTGGCATAATCTGGATGCTAGTGAAAACATGACATCACTATCGTCCCATTGGCCTTCCACAAAAGAAAAACTTGCTGATGAATTTGTTTTTCAATCTCATTTTTTCTCTCTCCAAATTTTTATCCATTTTTCCCTAGATTTATATTTCCCTTTCTCCCTCTCCCTATTTTGCAATTTCTAGTTAATCTAAAACGATTTCGGTGAGATTTTTCTTTCTCTTCCGCTACCCACTTTCCGCATCCCCTTAAAATTTGATGGCCCAAAATGACTATTTGATGAAGCAACCATCCATAAAATCCAAAAGCAGTTCTTTGCGTTACTTAATACAATTTCCAAAAAAAAAAAAAAAAACCCAAAAAAAAAGGCCAAAACTGAAAACAGAAGCTTCCACGAGCTTCTTGCAAGATTGAAATTTAATCTGTATCTTACATTTTTTATTCAGGTTTTCATTTAGATTTAGAGTTGATTGATTTAGTGTTACGGTTTAGTTATTTATCAAGGATTCAAGATTTTGCTTTGAAGAACTTTTATATTAAAAAAAAAAAATTAGTGGAGTTGACTTCAAAAAGAAAAATATGATAAAGAGTTATTTTTCTTTTAAAAAATGGTTAAAACGCATTGATTGTATAAATAAGTTTAATAATTTTATTTTGGGAATAAAGATTTTGAGAATAAGAGTCAAAATTTATTGCTCTATATTTACTATTCCATTATTTTTATACAATTTTATCTTCTTATTATAATTTTTATACAATTCTAGTCACATATAGATGAAAATAGAATATTTTGTTTAAATTAAAGAATATTTCATTAAAAATTTTAATTATTTTTTAATTTTTATTATATGATACATAAAAATACTTTATTTTAAATTCTAAATAAGGATAATAAAAATAAAAATAATTAATTTCTTTTCTAAACATACCAACTATTTTTTCATTTAAAATAATCTCATTCCCAAAAATTTACAATAACAAATATTCTAAAAAAAAGGAAATAATTAACGATGTCAATTATTTAATAACAAATAAGCATAATATTAATAATAAAATAAAAATAAAATAATTATTTTTAAAAATAACAACAACATCACTTATTATATAAATGAGATTTTAAATAATTCTTTACTAAAAAAAATTGGGGGAATAAGATTATTTTTTAAAATGAAAAAATTAATGAACTTTGTATGTATTTTTAGAAAAAAAAAATTAATATTTTTATTTTTATTATCCTTATTTATAATTTGAAATAAATTATGTTTTATTTTTCATATGCTAAAAATTAAAAATAATTAAAATTTTTAATGAAATTTCTTTAATTTAGATGAAAATTTTATTTTCTTTCATAGGCCACTAAAATTATATAAAAAATATAGTAAAATGATACAATTGTATAAAAATTAGAGTGATAAATATGGAGCCTTCAAAGAGTGATTAATTTGACCTTTATCCTAAGATTTTAAACTATTATTGTGGGAAAATTTTGTATTTTTATTCTTTTTCATATTTATTAGTGGCAGTGCTATGATAAAAAAAGTAAATAGCATTAATTATCCTTAAACTTTGAATTAAATTTTATTTTGATTTTTAATTTTTTTAAATTAATTTTGGTCTCCAATTACCAATACTTGGATTAATTTTATTTTTCTGGCTGGCTCCCTGTAGATTACATATGGCGCAAGCTGACATCATACATGGCATCAATTGAAGTGAAAAAAATAATTTAAAACACCTCTAATATTTGTCAACGGATTAAAAAGTAAAGGAAAGGGTTGGTGGAAAAAAATAACGCGCATGTTGCATAGAAAAAAGGAGGACGAACCGAAAGGTGTACCAAACCTCGCAGAGGGGATCGAGGGGGGATCAAATATCACCATCTATGGAATTGTTTATTGCGACGTTAAATGCTAATTGGTGTCACATGGATCATACATGGGCCATATCAGGCAAAAGCAGACATCATATATGGCATCAGTTGACTTAAAAAATTAATTTAAAAAAACCCTTAATGTCGATGGGTGAAAAAACTATCCGAATGGTGTTGGAAAAAAAGGGCCAAAGCTTTAAGAGGGGATCAGATTTCATCGTTTGGCTTCGAAGTATAGGTGTTAAATGGGTTGTACCTGTTTATATATTAGCAAATGTGTTAATGGATTGTGTTGGTTCAAGATAATTATTTAATATATTGTATTGATATAATATGTAAAAGTTAAGAGTATGATTCAATATAACATATGATCCATAGTTTTTATAAGTTATGTCACACTTAGCATGACATTATGTTTTATATCGAATTAGACCAAGCATGATTCACTAATAGTTTTTTAAAATTTTTACCTATTGCTCGAGTTTAAAAGTGTATTTTTATTTATATTAAAAAATTATTCTCGTTACGCTTGGGTCATAATTTTTTTTTATTTTGATGAAATATAAATTATTTAAAATTTTAACTTAATAATATGTACACAATAGAAAAAGTAATCAAATTTGAAGCTGTTAGCTTAATTACATTCTCACAACCAAAAAAATTAAAAGCAAAAGTTTTGTATAATCAAATGTATTGAAAACTCAAATTTTATTTTCATAGCAAACATTCAATAAATATTTAAGTAATAACTCACATCTATATCTATAGAGAGATGTTATGAAAATTTTATACATGTGAGTTGTGGATATGAATAGAAGTTTAGTAATATTATTAAAAAAAAAAAAACAGAATTTCCTTTTGTAAGAAGATTGAAGATAAACACTAATTAGATGGTTGAAGAAACTTTTAGTTTCTAATATGAAAAAAGTAAGCTTAATCACATTTCTAATATGACAGTTTAACTCTCATTTGTTTTTTTTATTTTTTTGCTTTGATCGAACTACTTCATGTCTCTTACTTAATTGAGATAAAAGTAGTTTTTAATTTTTATTTAGAGTGGTTCTTAAGAGTAGTAGATTTTAAAATGTTTAATCTATTAAATAATTTAATTGTTAGGTACATTAATTGATTTTTTTATTATAAATTACTT